GGGCAGGGGCAGAGAAATGAAGCCCTTGGGGATGCAGGGATGCCGAGAGGCCCTGGAGGCTGAGGGTGTGCCCTCCCGCAGCACCATCTGAGGAGGGTGCAGGAGGTGGGGGTGGGGGTGGTATTGGCAGGTAGGAGCAGCCAGAAGCCACCTAGGCTTCCTGGGCTGCATGGGCCCGGTGCAGGTGGTGGCAGAGCACGGTGTGTTCTGGTTTACAGCCTGATGCTTGGCAGCCCTGGCACCAGCGAGGGGAAAGCAGGGAGCTGGTTCTGCCAGAGGAGAGTGCAGGGCAGAGGAGTTGGGCCCAGGGAGTGCTGGACATGAGAGTTATTGGAGTGAGGGGCGCATGGCACAGACGGGAATGGGGGGCCAGCTGGGAGAAAGCAAAGATGGGTGGCAAGGAGGCCAGTTGTCTTAGGAGGGTGGAACCAGCCAGCTGGCGGCAGAGGAGACCTGGGTGGCAGGTCCGGAGATGGAGCGGAGCAGTGACAATGTGTGTGCGTGTTCAGGCCCCTGACGTGGTAAATGGCCTGAGGGCTGGCTGCTGGTGACGAATGACTTTGGGACATACCAGCATCACCGGCAGGCAGAAGGAGTGATCATTTGAAGACACCTGTGTCAATAACTACTGTGCTTAGTGTATCTTTCCCGGGCTTGGGACTGACCCCACCTCGTGTGTTTCACACAGTCATGGAGGTGGCGTCTGGCGAGTACGGAGACCAGAACGGCCGCCTGGTGAGAGCGGTCCGGGAGGGCATGTGCGACGCTGACTACAAGCGAGAGCTCGGGGGCGATGCTGAGGTGAACCCTTTCCTTTGGCACCGGCCCTCTGAAGAGGTAACGCAGGCAAAGCGGTTGAAGGGGTTGAGAAAGGTAATGCCCGTCCCAGGCCCGGGCGCACGCTCCCCCCTGCTCCGTGCAGACCCTGTCTTAGCCAGGAGGAGATGGGTCCCGGGACTGGGCCTCACCTCTCTCCCTTCTTGGGTGTGGCAGGACTCCGCCTCCGTGGAGGGCTGTCACAGCTTCTCAGCCAGCTGCCTGACCCAGTTCTGCATCCTCTTCAGAAGGACCTTCCTCAGCATCATGCGGGACTCGGTAAGGCTGTCCCCAGTGTCCCTCAGGGCAGAGGAGGCCACCTTCTGACTTACTGTCCTGTAGTTTTCCCTTCACTCACAGTAGTCACCATTTCCCACCAAGCTGCAGTGACAAATGGTCCCAGTGCTCGTGCCTGCAGTGTGCAGGCTGTTCTTGCTTGTGCCGTGTGTCAGTGGCTGTCGGTTGTGTTGGGTTTCTGCACCTGCCGTCTTTACCTCCTGGGACCCAGAATGAAGGAGGTGGTCTGACCTGACATTCCTTTAAGACCAAGGCAAAGGGAAAGTGTGAGAGAGAAACCAAACGGCAGCCCTTAAAACTGCTGCTGACCAGTGGCAGATCGTCACTGGTGCTCACCTTCCATTGCCCAGACCTGAGGGTGGGCGCAGGGCATCTTCCTCCTTCAGGACCACGCTGCAGGTCGTGAGGAGGGGGCTGAACCATTCCTGTAGGGAAGGAGGTGGTGAACACGGGGCCCTGCCTAGGAGAGGCTGCATGCCCGCATGGCAGATGGAGGGGCAGGTAGCAGCCCACGCCAGGGCCTGTCTGTGTGGGCTTTGAGGTGGCCACGTCCCCTCACCGTTGTCTGTACTTTCCTCTCTTCTGAAGGGACACTTCCCTCCTTTGCTTCCCATTTTTGAAAAGGATTTAATAAAGGATAGTATAGTTGTCCCTTAGCGTCCAGGGGAGATTTGTGACAGGACAAAGTGAGGACACCACAACCCGGCACACTAACAGCTGGCCCTCCTTACGCGTGGGGCCACATCCCTCGAATACTGTATTTTAGACCCACGTTTGGTTGTGGATGTGGAATCCACCAACACCGAGGGTGACTGTGTTGATTGAAAATAATTGTATGTAAGAGGCCCAGTGTAATTCACCCCCGTGATGGTCAAGGCTCAGCTGTAATTACTTCTGTTATAATAACAGCAGAAGCCTGCCCTGTGTGTGAGCCTGTGTGACAGCATGTGTGTGAGCATGCATGTGGGCAGACAGGTATGTGAGGGCATGAGGGCATGAGTGTGTGTGAGGCCATTCACGTGTGAGGGCGTGTACATGTGTGAGCATGTGTGTGAAGCCATTCATGTGTGAGGGTGTGCACGTGTGTGGGTGTGTGAGGCCCTTCATGTGTGTGGGTGTGTGTGTGAGGCCCCTCACGTGTGTGAGCGTGTGTGTGAGGCTGTTCACGTGTGAGGGAGTGCACATGTATGAGCATGGTATGTGAGCGTGTGGGGGGAGCGTGCACGTGTGTAGCATGTATGACTGTGCACATGTGTATGAATGTGAGTATGAGTTATTTCAGAGTTTGAGCTTGTTTTTCTGGAGGATCAGTGGGGTGCAGCCTGAGACGTGCTACAAACCTGGGTGTGAGGCTGCTGAGGGCCTCGGCCTCGGCCTGGCTGCCCCGTGTGAGACCCCCGTCTGCCCCAGGTTCTGACGCACCTGCGTATCACTTCGCACATCGGCATCGGCCTCCTCATCGGCCTGCTTTACCTGGGCATCGGGAATGAAGCCAAGAAGGTTTTGAGCAACTCGGGCTTCCTCTTCTTCTCCATGCTGTTCCTCATGTTCGCAGCCCTCATGCCCACCGTCCTGACGTGTGAGTGACCGCGCGGACCTCCCTGCCTTCTTCTGAGTCCTACCAAAGAGGGGTGCCTGAGGCCATGCCCTGACCTACCAAAGGGGGGCCTGAGGCCATGCCCTGACCTACCAAAGGGGGGCCTGAGGCCATGCCCTGACCCACCAAAGAGGGGTGCCTGAGGCCATGCCCTGACCCACCAAAGGGGGGCCTGAGGCCATGCCCTGACCTACCAAAGGGGGGCCTGAGGCCATGCCCTGACCTACCAAAGGGGGGCCTGAGGCCGTGCCCTGACCCACAGGTGCATTTTCTGAACTCACAGTGTGTTTGATTTTTAAAGTGCCATCTTCCATGTTGGAAGACGCAGGCTTATTGTATTTTTGTTAGACAAAATGTAATGTTTCAGCCAAAAGAATGACTCACTAGTGGAGGATTTGTAAGTGTGGTGGAAGCCTGATCAGAGGGATATTCCTCATAAGCTTACTACTCAGGGCCCCCATTCTGCTACTTCAGCATGGCCTGGTCTGGTTGTTGAGGTGGCCCCGGTGCAGCCAGGAGTAGGCAAGCTCTCCCACACGGGCCCGCGAAGTTCTGGTTTGTTCCCAAGTAGGCCATTCTTGGGCACTCTGGGCTGGCCACAGACAAACCTCTTGCTTTGTCAAAACTTCAGCACAAGCCCTGCTCTCCTCCAAGCCCCCTCCCTGCATTGCCCTCAATTTCTGAGCCCAGCTCACAGGCAGGAGTGACTTTGAGAAAAGCAGCCTGGGTAGGAGCAAGGCCAGCAAGGAACACCTGCCTTAGTCACGGGGTGACGCTCGGCGTCCCTGGGTGCCCCCCATTCTGCACATGGTGGCCCTCAGCGTCAGAGCGGGAGACAGTTTTCTCAGCCAGTGAGACGCTGTGTCATTTGTTCAGCTTCTTGGTGTTTGGGTACTGAGAGGCCCACACTGTGGCACAGGCCAGCACTGGGTCGCCTATACCCCCGTCAGCACATCTGGCCTGCACCTGACCCTGTGTTCCTTTCCTGTCCCCTAGTCCCCCTGGAGATGGGGGTGTTTCTCCGGGAGCACTTGAATTACTGGTACAGCCTGAAGGCCTACTACCTGGCCAAGACCATGGCCGACGTGCCCTTCCAGGTACGCAGTGAGGGCCTCGTTTGCAGGGGCTGGGGTTCCCCTTTACACCCTTTATGTTGCGGGGGCACCGATGTCCATGAGGGCCTGCCAAGGAGTGAGGGGCAGTGAGTCCTGAGGGGAGTCCTGGCCGGAGCCGGGCTCCCGTGACGCCTGGTGACGCCCCTGCAGATCATGTTCCCTGTGGCCTACTGCAGCATCGTGTACTGGATGACGGCCCAGCCCTCCGACGCCGTGCGCTTTGTCCTGTTCGCAGCCCTGGGCACCATGACCTCCCTGGTGGCCCAGTCGCTAGGCCTGCTGATCGGAGCTGCCTCCACGTCCCTGCAGGTACGCGCCACGGCCTCCCCAGACACCTGGGCCTCAGAGGGGACTCATCTGACCAGAGCATAGGCTGTGACACCCACCACAGGCCAGGCCAGCATGCTACACACACAGCACAGGCACAGACCACATATGCCACACACAGACCACACGGGGACACACACAGGGACACGCCACATGCAGACCACGGGGACACACACAGGGACACACCACACACAGACCACAGAGGGACACACACAGGGACACACCACACA